ACTTTGCATGCAAGTTGGCCCGCATGATATGTTTGAATGATATTATTGAGGACCTTTATGGTAAAGGTGGCAAGAAGACCCGGTGGGATGTCACAGATGCTGATGAAGCGGCTGGCATTGAAGATGCCTACGAGGAAGATATGGAAGATGCTGAGGAGGAGGAGGCAGAGTACGATCCACCGCTGGATGTTGCCCCTATGCCTGAGCCGGTGCTGGATGTTGCCCGTATCCCTGAGCCTGTGCTGGATGTTGGCCGTATCCCTGAGCCTGTGCTGGATGCTGTTATCCCTCCACCTGAGGCCCCTAAGCCTCGGAGTGATCCTCCTTTGCAAAAGAAGGGTGTGCTTCATTTGAACAGTTCGACCTCGATTGCTTCAGATGCCACTACCCTTATCCTTGGTGAAACCCCCGCAACACCCAAGCCGAATCCTTTGCATGTGCCATCCTCATCGGCCCTTACGCCGTCCCCTCCAAGTCTTCCAGATGCTGAACGTGTGGTGTTCAAAGAAGTGCTGTACGTGGCTGAGTCACCCAGAAAAATGGTGAAAGCAGAGCCTCACGACGAGGCTTTGAAGCCCACCCCTTCCGAGCCAGAACCCATGGACAAGGAAACTGCTATGCGGGAGCTGGCTTTGCTGGAAGCCTACAGGAAGGAACAATTGGCAGTCGAAGCTCGCCGATCTGAGGAGGAAGAAAGCGAAATCACCCCAACCGAACCAGATGCAGAGGAGTCACAGCTAGGTGAAGCCCCAGAGCCAGAACCCATGGACAAGAAAGCCCCAGAGCCAGAACCCATGGACAAGAAAGCTGCTATGCGTGAGCTGGCTTTGTTGCAAGTGCAGTTGCCGCAGTCTCGGTTGTTTCTGGTACAATCGTGCGGTGCGAGTCGATCATTCAATGAAATATATGGATTTGGATTGTTGGCTTTGTTTTGGGCCCCCGTTGAGGTTGCAGCTTCGATCGGGAGCACTTGCCGATGGCAACTTGTCTGTATAGGAGTGTGCATGTGCAAGCATTGCAGGTGTATATACTCAATTCAAGTTAAGCGCCCATGTGCAATATATGGGTTTCTGCATGCACACAAAACTAATGTGGGCATTTTGTGTTCTAGCTTGTATCCCCGCCCAGGACCTGCACCAGCTTCCAAGCCTGTGTTGGACACGGATGACACACAGGTGGCACCGCAGACTGTGTTGGATATGGAGGCCGACAGATTGGCACGCCTGAACTCATCTACCGATTTGGTTCAAAGCCTGCCAAACCCGCCTGCCCCTAGGCCTAACTACATGATCGAGTCACACATGTTGTGTATGAACTGCTTGATTGCATGCATTGTTATAGTTTTGCAGTTGCAGCGATATCCCAGGCTATCCGTCGTGAAGAACAGCTGGATGCTAGAAAAAAACGCAAGGAACTAGCTGCTGCCAAGAAAGCAGCTGCCAAGGCAAAGAAGGACACGTATGGTTTGGTTTAATTATGTACTGTACTGGTATATGTGCATGCATGGATATCATGCAATCATGCAACTTTGTTTCAATCCTGCCGGTGAGGACAAGGAAGCACAGGAGCTGGCCGATGCCGAGGTTTGCCAGGCTCCGGAGACCAATGAGGGCCCAGCCGAGGTTTGCCAGGCTCCGGAGACCGATGAGGGCCCAGCTGCCAAGGATTGCCAGGCTCCGCAGTCCGATGAGGGCCAGGCTGAGGGTGTTGAGCAGCCGGCAAAGAAGCGCAGAACAGCTGCCAAAAGCAGTTCGAAGAAGCCTAGGGTGCAGGAGGATCCCAAAACAAATGGGGATGCCGTGTCTGTGGATGCTTCGGTGCCTGAGGCGGCTACGGGAGAAGACGAGGGAGAGAAGGAACCCAAGCCGGGCAAGGGCTCAAAGAAAGGATCGGGCAGAGGAAAGGGGAGAGGAAAGGGGAGAGGAAGGGGCACGGGAAACAAAGGAAGGGGTAAAGGCAGAGGGGCAGGAAGTGGCAAAGAAAAAGCAAAGAAAGCGAAGAAAGGCAAAGGAAAGGGCAAGGGCAAGGGTGCTGAAGCTTCCGAGGCAGCGCCGGAGAGGAGAGTGTCTAAAAAGACAACCCCGGAGCGCAAGGATGAGGACCCTAAGAAGAGAAAGCCGGAGGGCCGGGATGACAATGCAAAGCCAAAGCAACCGGGTCTTCAGCTTGAAGAGGCCTAGGGAATTGATTTCAGAGCAGATCTTCTTTGTGTTTATATCTGTGTCAATCATGAGAACACTGATGTGCATGTGAGTTCGGTTTGTGACTGCCGTGGGTGCAGGTCTTTCGTAGATCGATCGTATTTATGGGTAGTGTCAGAAAATCGCTGCACGCAGGAGAAGATTGAGTTGAGGAAGCTCGTGGTTGCGGCAAATGGCATTCTGAACCACTTTGTCATTATGGTCTACTGGACCCGACCTGGTGTGGGCATCAAGCAGATGTCAGACGCAAAGCAGGCACGTGGGACACATAGGCCGGTATATTCAGCCATCTGATCTCTTCATTATATATGCATGCAGGTACAGTACTTCGGGTCGAAGGGTGCAACCACCTCGAAGCTTTTGCATGCTGCCATCGAGTGTGTGACTTGAACTAATTGGTGATGCTTGAGCTTCCCTTTGCCTTTGAGTTGCTCATGTACATGCATTTATAATGCAATTCCACATCCGGCGGTGTGCTTCTATATGCTTGGTACAATTGAGGCCAAGTACATGGACAAGGATCCCGAGGACATCAAGGGCATCAACCAGTTTGTCTACAAAATCAAGCAACAGCTGAAGAAAGCGATTTCCTAGGGGAGCTTTTGCTGGTTGCGATGCCAAGCATAGGGTGTTGGATTGTGGAGGTGCCAAAGCCTGTGTGGGCTTCATGTGCTTAGAGTCATTATGGTGTCGGATCTAAAGCCGGCTGAGCGCTGAAGATTTTATTGTACCCCGACCGAATGCTGAAGCTTTTATTCTATATCATCAGGGTCCATATAGAATTATAACATATGTTCGGCATGATCCGGTGACTATATGCAGTGTACATGGTGGGAGACAGGCGGAACACGTCTGCAGTGTCGATGCCTTGCTGGCTTAGAGCACTAGCTGGGGAAAGACAACTCAAGGTCGTCCTTCGCTCGCTGATGAAAAAAACATTGACACCGTTGCAGTTCTATTGAGTGCAGAGCAATGTGTGCTTGGAGTTGCTGTGTGATGCAAACCACTGCCAGCACAATTTAAGTGTATCTGCATCGCAGGTCTGCGACTTTCGATGCCGGTGCCAAAGTCTCTACGTGGGCGTGTTGCGGAGGTTTCTGCCGGCAGGGCCAATGCCGACACTCGTGCAGCTTCCACGTGTTATCCTGATTGGTCGATGATTAGTATAATGTACGTACTATGTAAACCTTGATAACCCAATAGAAGACTTGTTTGGAATCCCAATTAAACCCCATGTATCTATATATATATATACACACACTATATCTACATACCCTACATACTCTTTTAACCCGGTCTACATATATAAGAATAAAACATTCCAGGTGGCATCTTTCTGTGATGCTTATTGGCTTTGCATCTAGTCTCTGCAGCAGTAAGTATGCTCACAAGGATCTTGCCTACATGTTAGCCGGATGTAGTGATCTTTCTGTACCTTAGAGGCAGAGGTGTGGGTTCTATAGCCGTCAATTAATCTATATGTGGATAGCAAAACGTTGGCTTCACGGGGTCAGGAGTGCCGTGGTTTTGGGGTCGAGGGATTCAGTTGGTACATTCTTACATAATTTTTTTTTCGGGTCCACGCCGGGGTGTGGGGTGCCGGGAGTGGGGATCCTCTATAAACAAGAAAATAATTACGTGCTCTGTACCCTTCTAATACATTATATACAACAGGCGTCTAGGGCTTCTGTTGATTGAGTAGCGATCACGGGGTTTAGGAATGTATAGGCCTTTCAGGGTGCTGGAGGATTACGTAGTTCAATTAAGATACAGGTGGTTTCCAGGGTTCAGGATGTTTCAGAATTTCGGGAGCTTATTGTCTCCCGTGGGCTTCACAGGCGATCGAATAGTGTGGGGAGCTTATTGGGCTCCCATGGGCTTCACAGACGCTCATGCTGAACTTGGTTGCCAGCTGTGACGTCTGATGCTCGTGAGTCACAAAGTGTGAAGCCGTGATCAACGACAGACATGTGTAGATAATATGTATGTAAACATACACACAAATATACATACCATACACTATATAGTCACAGAAATCTACAGTTAACTGCATACTGACGACGACTTTTAGAGACTATACTACTGCATGACTATGTGTATATATATATATATATGTATACATGCACAAGTACGCTTCGATCGTGCTAATCTTGCCCTTGGCCCTGCTACTGCTGCTGCTGCTGTTGCTCAATCTATATACTAGGTTGTGATCGCACTACCATTCAATGTACGTTTCTGCTATCTACCATTTTATTTCCTATATATATATGTATATCACTGGCATATGAATAGTAGTCTCAGTCTCTACTATATATACTATATATGCATACTGTGACGACGACTACACTATATGCGATGCATATATACATATATTGATATATAGACCACTTAAGTACGATACCTGCAATACTTTCATTGTACTATATAACAGTCCCGCTGGACCTGCCACAGCTGCTTCTGCTGTTGCCACTACACACTTGCTATACCTCGACTATATACCCATATATATATATATATATATACATATATATTTACCATTCACTCCCTATATATATATATATATATATATATATATATATTTACAGTTACCACGCATTGTCTAAATTTTCATACAGATGCTTTCGCACACATGCATGTATATACATATATATGTATATATGTATACATATCCATCTTTTTGTGTGACATGACACTTGTGACCACTGTCGTTTTGTAGAGCCAAGACTCCAACTAAGTCATGTATATCATGTAGCTGATTTAGATCGACGACGACGCAGGCTTAGGTAGCCGTCGCTCGCA